CATCCTGAGCGAACTCCCCTAGTGCGGCCGGACGTACTGTGCGCCCGGGCGTCCCCTACACGGCCAGAGCCCGAATCTGAATTGCGGAGAGTTTTACATGAAGCTTCGACCGCTCGCGTCGCCCGTCCTCGCGCTGCTGCGGCGCCTCAGCCCGCCACCGCCACCGCCGCCGCCGCCCGTGCAGTCACCGCTGTGGGATGGCCTCGCTCCCGCCCTCCTCGCGGTGCTCGTGTGCTGGCTGCTCCCGGCGCTGCTGTACGTGCGCTTTGCGAGGGAGGGCACTGCCACCAGCGCAGGCGCCGGCTCCGCCGCGAGAGCCGGCGCCGGCCGGCACCGCGGCGTGCTGTACGGCTCGCTCTCCTCCTTCCTCTCCGTCACCGCGATGGCCGTCATGTTTCCGTTCATGCAGGTCCGGCGCGACGCCCTCGGCTGTGACGCGCTGTGCCAGGGCGGGCAGACGTCGCTCCGCTCGGCGCTGACGCTGGTCGGCGCGGCGGTGATTGGGCGCGCGTCGGACCGCGTCGGCCGCGTCCCGATGCTCTGGGTCGGGACCGCCGCCTCCCTCGCTTCGATCGTCATTTCGCTGTCTAGTGACTCGCTGACGGGCATGTGGCTCGCCGCCCCTAGAGGCGAAATACGTGTTTCATGTGCCCCGGCTAGCGCCCGAGAGGACACGTATTCAGCCGTACTCACGCGGTGCTCTGAACACACTGCACAGTACCGTACTCCCGCCCTGATGTCGGCGTATTCAGCGCGTAGGCTCGCCGTTGTCCCGGCCGCGCTGCTCAACCAGAACTTCTCGGTGTGCAAGGCGCTCTTCTCGGACTACATCGACGAGGCGGGCGGCACCGACGCCGACAAGGCCGGCGCCGTCGGCAAGCTCGGCATGGCGGTCGGCTTCTCCTTCATGGTTGGCCCGATCCTCGCGTCGGCGCTGATCTCCGACTACCGCCGGGCGCTCCTCCCCTTCTTATTATTATGATTAGTAGTAGTAGTAGTAGTAGTAGTAGTAGTAGTAGTAGTAGTAGTGGTAGTAGTGTCTCCGACTACCGGCGGGCGCTCCTCCTCTGACTATTCTAATATTACTGTTATTATCTCTGTCTCCGGCTACCGGCAGGCGCTCCTCCTCTCCGCGGCCATCACCGCCGCCTCCTCCGTCTTCCTGCTGCTCCTCCCCACGCCCTCCAGGCTCTCCAGGCAGCAGCGCGGCGGCGGCGGCGGCGGCGGGTCGTCCTCCGCCGGCCTGACTGGCTCTCCTCCCTCCACCCGTCCTTCAGCTGCGCGGCGCGTGTTTCTTTTTTTCACTCGGAGTGCCTCTCTCTAGGCTTCCTCTCGCTGCCCGTCCTCAAGCTCCGCGGCGCGCAGCTGCTGATGCTGGTGCGGCTGAAGATGGCGCTCGCCTTCCACATGTTTGCGCCCGTCTGGCAAGTCTCGATACGGGCGCGCTATCTCCCCATATCTCCCCATATCTCCCCATATCTCCCCGTCTGGCAAGTCTCGATACGGGCGCGCTATCTCCCCATATCTCCCCATATCTCCCCATATCTCCCCGTCTGGCAAGTCTCGATACGGGCGCGCTATCTCCCCATATCTCCCCATATCTCCCCATATCTCCCCGTCTGGCAAGTCTCGATACGGGCGCGCTATCTAGGATCCGCTATCTAGGATCCCTCACCCGCAGGGACACCTCCACCTGTGGCCCTGCACCTCCCCTTAGCACCCTAGCACCCTCTCGGAACCCTCTCGGAACCTTCTCGGAACGGGCGCGCTTCAACCTGTCTTCCTGTACTCCGGAACCCCTCTCGGAACCCCTCTCGGAACCCCTCTCAGACCCCTCTCGGACCCCTCTCGGACCCCTCTCGGACCCCTCTCGGACCCCTCTCGGACCCCTCTCGGACCCCTCTCGGACCCCTCTCGGACCCCTCTCGGACCCCTCTCGGACCCCTCTCGGACCCCTCTCGGACCCCTCTCGGACCCCTCTCGGACCCCTCTCGGACCCCTCTCGGACCCCTCTCGGACCCCTCTCGGACCCCTCTCGGACCCCTCTCGGACCCCTCTCGGACCCCTCTCGGACCCCTCTCGGACCCCTCTCGGACCCCTCTCGGACCCCTCTCGGACCCCTCTCGGACCCCTCTCGGAACAGGCGCGCTTCGACTTTGGGCCGCGCGACCACGCGCAGTTCATGGGGCTCGTGGGGCCTAGAAGCGGAATCTCTCCCCACACCTCCCCGCATCTCCCCATATCTCCCCACACCTCCCCACATCTCGCCACTCGCTAGAAGCGGAAGATCTCCCCACATCTCCCCACACCTCCCCGCATCTCCCCATATCTCCCCGTCTCTCGGGGCCTAGAAGCGGAATCTCTCCCCACACCTCCCCGCATCTCCCCGCATCTCCCCGTATCTCCCCGTATCTCGGGCCCTAGAAGCGGAAGATCTCCCCGCATCTCCCCGTATCTCCCCGTATCTCGGGCCCTAGAAGCGGAAGATCTCCCCACACCTCCCCATATCTCCCCGTATCTCGGGCCCTAGAAGCGGAATCTCTCCCCACATCTCCCCACATCTCCCCGCCGCACTGGATTCGGTACTTTGGAGGTGTGGTACTCCGCAGGCTCGTCGGCCTGACCTACGCGCTCTCGCAGGAGTTCATCGCGAAGCCGCTCGTGCGATCGTTCGGCGACAAGGCGCCGCTCGGAACCGCGGCGGATCTCGTGCGGATCTCGGCGGATCTCGGCGGATCTCGGCGGATCTCGGCGGATCTCGGAAGATCTCGGCAAATCTCGCTGAATCTCGCTGAACCTGCTGAATCTCGAGGTGTCTCGGCTGCTGCTCCTCT